CCTCTGTCCTGAAAAATGATCACCAAGGGAGTGAGCTGTCTAGGAAATTATGCACCCATTAGTTTAATAGCTATTTCAGATCAATTAAAAGGAAATTCAAGATAAAAGTATCAAATGTATAGAAGGACGTGTCCTGCTGGGAAGAAATACAAATCAATTCCACAAATGTACTTCCTGTTTCTCCAGCCTTTTAGAATTCTTTGCAAACGTCAGTATTTGTGGACAGGGGTGACTTGCTGACATTCACTTGAATGCCTAAAAAATAATGTTACTAACCATTAAGGAGTTTTGAATAATAATTAATGCATATTTTGCTGAAACATCTCAGTGCTTCTTTCATGTGTTTATTGGAGAGAGAGCAGAAAGTGAGCTATACCAAGAACTGACATTTGTGAAGGAACAGCCATGTTGTTACTTAAAAGAATGAATTCTTAATTAAAATGCAGTTGTTAGAAGCATCCGTTATTCAGTGTTCTGCTTTATAGCTTTTAAAATAAAAATTTATGGCAATTTTGAAGAAAATAAGCTGACAGAAATCTGGTTCGCATGACACAACAACCTCCCAAGTGAAGCCAGCCAGCATGGTTTCTACAAGGAGGCTTCTTTTTCATGCACAAGCTACCCTGAGAATTCATGGCTTGTTGTTCGGTTCCTCATACCTCTGTACAAACTGAATATGATTTCATCAAGAGACCTTAAGAACAGCTAAAGAGCCAACTGGCAAAATTGGCAACTACTCCTATTGTCCCTTGTGATGCTGCCAATGATGCTGCTATCATGCTTCATCACTTTTCAGTTCTTGCCATTACATGCTCCTAAATATTGAGAAGAAAAAATACTAGAGTCCTGAAAATTCTGCCATTTACTCCAGGGGTACTCAAACTTTTTTTATAGAGGGCCAGTTGAAAGGCTGTGGTGACCATCGCGGGCCAGTGAGGTGCTGTCGGGTGTGCATGAAGCAACATTGGGCGTGTGGGGTGGTGGCGTGCTCACATGGAGATCTCCCAGCGAGTCCAAAACCATCTCGCAGCAAGCAAGCCACCACCTCCCCACCTGCGCTGCGAGGCAGTGGCGAGCGTGTGCGTATGGGAGGCAGGTCGGCGGCGACTCGCTCAGAGACCATCTCCGAGTGAACAAGCCACCACCCCGCCCGCACAGCAAGCGCATAGGGGGTGAACAGAGGCGCAGGCCAGATGGATGACCATGGCAGGCTGGATAGTTTGAAGACCCATGTCAGTCCTTTGCAAGTTTGTGAGAATGAATATCTATTGCTAGGAAATTTGCATAATTCTCCCAGTTTTACTTCTCTGTGCTGAAATTTGTGAGTTTCTTCATTTATTGTCTTGCTATGACATTTCTGTATGAATTGGACAGTGGAAACCAACAGAAGGAAAAACAACAAAAAAGTGGCAAGTCAAAAGGTGTAGGAGAGTTTTAGGGACAGGTATTATTCAGTGGAATATACAGCAGCCTTAAAAAAAAGCTTTCACTAGTAAGGGAAGTGCTAAAATGGAGGATGAAATTGATAACAGTGGATGGGGAGGAGTGTCATATGTTTTGTACAAACATGTAAGATTGTGGTTTTCTTTAAAATGTTGAACACTGGCTCACTCTCTCTGGGAGAAGCTGTTGTTAACGTTTTCTTTACTTGAAGGAAGTGTGTTAGTTAAACCAATCCCTTGATGAAGCTAAAGGTTGTTGAAGAATCTCAGCATATAACTGTAATGCCTTTACTGCATTTTCTTTAGAACAGTTCACAATTAAATAATTTATTGTTACCTCATTTAACAGACACTGAAAAAAGTAGTGGTTCCATGATCTCTGGCAGCTCAGGCAGATACCAGTGTTTTGTTGACTTGTGATATCTTCCAAATTATAACTAAAAGGATTTCAAAATTTTACGTTGTAGAACAAGCAGAAACAGCAGCACTGTTTTTAAATACATTTTGTTCCCGTTAAGATTCTTGCTTTGTTTCTTGTGGATGAATCTAAAATAGGCATTCCACTTACTGGCCTAATATTTTTATGTATTTTCTGTACCATGATTCATTAAAAATCTCATGACGGTTTACAAAACCATAGTGCGTTCTCAGTATCTCCAAGTGTCTGAATGTCCTTAATGAGATGTCTAAAAGGGTTAGGGTAGTCTTATGTCTTCATAGCTTATTGTATGTTGAAAGCAAGAAATCATTCCAACTGTTAAAAAAAGTCATCTTCATTTATTCCTAATATTTTGTATATGAGGCATGCTTATCAGTAGGCAGTGGATAATGTGTCTGATTACTGTGCAGTTAAGATGGACTAGTCTCAATTAGATCAGTATAATTGTTTCAAATAGGATGACATCTTTTTAAAGTTAGGTCACAAATTCATTAGAAGATTCTTACACCTTTGGTGCAAGATGTGCTAAAAATACGCTGTCTGTGCAAGTTGTCTAAACTTGAAATTTGATCAACCTGCATACTCTTAAAGCTGTTGTTTTGTCCAGACAACATGTGGGGTTAGGGTGGTATAGATGAAAAGGTTTTCCTCGCATAAACTGATCCTCTCAGGCAGTCACTTTTTTTTTATTACAACATGATGAAAGCTTCTTAGTAACATATTGCATGGCATTCATGTAAAGTCAGTACCTGGTAATTACCCTCACCCAGTTTGAAAGCTCTTTCTTCTCTGGTGCTCAGATCTCTATGAATGCCCAGAAGCTCTTTCCTGATAATTCAGAGGTGCAGGCCAACTTGCATAAATGTTTCATCCTTGCCTGAGAGTATTTCCTGGAGGCTTACTTGTAAAAATATTCTTTTACACCTTTTCAGGCAGACTTTCTTAACTAAGACTTAACTAAGTATTTTATGGTTTGTGAGTAGGATTAATGAGTAAATGAAAACATGGCTATCCTATCATAGTTAGAAATACTTTCAGTTTGCCTCATTTTGAACATTTCTTAGGACAGTGTCTTGGAGAAGAAGGAACAGGGCCAGATAATTTGAACTTGAACCACAAGTGCTATGCTAGTCTGTGATGTTATGAATGCTTATGGTGGTGCGAAGCTTAGGGGGAAAACAGTACATTTTGTCAAGACTGGGGCTGCATCCCCGTTTCAATGAAGAAGAGGAATTGAATCTAAATTAAGCATTATATTTGAGGGTATTTATGGAAACTTCTTGCCTGAGTCTACTTTCTTACTGTCCGTACCTTGTGACAAGCAATTGGGACAAAAGTATTACCACAAAACAATATGCTGAACTATGAATTTTTGCCCCACATCTTTCTCTAGAATACAAAGAATATTCTAGAGACCTTTGTTTCTGTATGTGGCATGTTTGTTGAAGTACTAGTTCCAGAATTTCTTGAACAGAAACAGCTAGTGAAAGGGAGAAAAAACCAAGTAGCCAGAAATGTCATGAGCTTGACAGGCTAAAGGAAGCAAAAGGACACCAAGGTGTGTATTAAGCACTTACCTCCGTGAGTAGGGCCTTCTTGAAGTTCCTGTAGTAGTAGTAGTAGCTGGAAGTATAGAATCATAGAATGGTTGAGCTGGAAGGGGCTATAAAGACTATCTAGTCCAACCTCCTGCTCAGTGCAGGACTCCACTTAAAACATCCCTAACAGATGGCTAGCCAGCCTTTTGTATACGTCCAGTGTGGGAAAGGCTCTAACAGGAAGATTTCCCTGATATTTAGTCAGAATCTGGCTGCTTGTAACTTGAACTCATCATTCTGTATCCTGCACTCTGGAATGATTGAGAAGAGAGTACTTCCAAGTACTTGAAAACTGCTGTCATATCTGCCCTCCATCTTCTTCAGGCTAAGCATGTCCAGTTCTTTTAATCTCTTTTCACAGGCTTTGTTTCCAGTGCCTTGATCATCTTTGTTACGCTTCTCTGAACTTTTTCTAGAAAAATGGTACTCAGAACTGGACACAACACTCAAATGGGGACTAACTAGTGCCAAACCGATGCTATCTAATGTAGTATTTCTTTTGTGCAGCCACATCTCATTCTTGATTCATATTCAACTTGTGAGCTACCTGAATTTTAAGATCCTTCTTGTTTAGAGTATTGTTGAGCCAAACATTCCTCATAACAAAGCATTTTGTTCCTTTTTCCTCGGTGTAAAAGTTTGCATTTGTCCCTATGAAATTTCATTCTGTTGCTTTTAACCCTGTACTCCAGCCTTTCAAGGTCACTTTGAATTTTGTTCCTGTCTTTCAGAATATTAGCTAGCCCACCCATTTTTGTGTCATCTGCAGGTTTGATCAGCATTCCTTACATCTCTTCATTCAAGTCAGTAATTGATACAGCAAGATTAAAGCTTGAATAGTATAAGGATTTAAACTGATGGAATTATCACTGAATGGATATTATTTGACAACATTCATAGATCCAGTGCAGATGCAAGATATTTTTTCAATTATTTCTGGATTAGCAGTAGTTGTCAACGTGTATTTCTTTCAGAAAACTTTCCTAGGTATCTGGAATACTAAAAGGCATTGTTTGGTTGAAGAATTACCTTTGTTGAAAGCTGATGTATTAAAATAGAAGAATTGCTTCTCTGAAGATAAACCTCTTAATGCTGCATGTAATAAATAAAAATGCTAGATATTAACTTATCCAGCATAAATTCTGAAGTTCCAATTAATATTTCATTGTGATTGAACATGTTGGGAGGAAATTATTGTTGTTGCTAGTTGATTTCTAAATTGCTCTCCTGGAATAGTTTTAATTGTGTAGCTCCAAGCAGACTATTACCTTAAATATATATATACAGAAACTGCTGCTGTGATCTTTTTTGAGGGGGTAGGGTGAGGCTTCTTTTATTTACAATTGTTTGCCTTCTGGAACAGATACATAACAAATCATCTAATCTTGACTGTGACAGATTTTGTTACAGATAGGTATCTTGAACTGAATCATTAAAAGCTGCTAACATTGGAACAATGAACAATATGTACACTAGTTACCAGATGTAAAATAATGTCAACAACTTTGTTTGAAATTTCAGAACTACACATGAATTCTTGTTTGGGGCCCTTGCTGAGCTTGTAGATAATGCCAGGTATGTCATGGTCAAAATTGTAATGATAAAAGGTGCTTTCTGTATTGTGAATAGTTTAGATTATGTGATCAAGGCTAGCATGTGGACAGATGTTTCTTCAGGGGTAAATATTGTTGCTTTCTTTTTCATGTATAACTTTTTTTCAAGTTGAAGTTCTTAGCATTTCAGTAATAAAAAATTGACTGATTCTTCTAAATTCTCAGGAAATAAGTGAATGAAAATGTCATTCATCTTTAATGAGTAGCTTTACTCAAAATAATTCTGTTCTATTAACACCATTTTGACTTTACATTAACTTTATAATTTCAAAAATGTCCAAAACAAAAATGCAGTTGGATAGAAAGAGGAATTTCAAGGCATAAAAGCATGTACAGTAATACAAAATAAGACCATATTTGGGTGAAAGAAGTATAGTTAGAAGAAAAGAGAAAAACCAAAGAATAGCTAGTCATATTAGAAATTGCACCTTTTTTCTTGTCGAAATAGTATGAAAGTATTAAAAATTGTTTATAAGGCTGTGTTATGGAAGGAAACTTGAAGATATGCAATCTATTTATTTATTTATTTAGGAGACTTCTATGCCGCCCCATTCACTGAAGCCTCTGGGCGGCTCACATCCATAAATAAACTTCCATAGAATAATATAAATTAACAATATAAATTAAGTCGCCCTGGCCAAAGAATAAAATGAATAAATACTATTAACAATTAAAATGACATTTGAATAAAAAGGTCTTCGCCTGGTGCTGAAAAACAAATAACGACGGTGCCAGGCGAACCTCTCTGGGGAGCGCATTCCATAGATTGGGCGCCACCGCAGAGAAAGCCCTCCTCTGAGTACTCACCCTCCTAATTTCCTTCACGGAGGGTTCCCGGAGAAGGGCCTCCTGCAGATCTCAAGGGGCGGGCGGGCATATATGGACATAAGTGCTCCTTCAGGTAACTAGGACCCAAGCCGTTTAGGACTTTATAGGTCATCACCAACACCTTGAATTGGGCCCGGACTTCATTGGGAAGCCAGTGAAGCTGACGGAGGACTGGAGTCATGTGAACATAACGCCCAGTCCCCGTCAGCAGCCTGGCAGCTCTATTTTGAACCAATTGAAGTATCCGGACCGTCTTCAAGGGTAGCCCCACGTAGAGCGCGTTACAGAAGTCAAGGCGGGAAGTCACCAACATGTGTGTCACTTTCGCCAGGCAGTCATACTCCAGGTAGGGGCGCAGCTGATGCTTCAGCCGAAGCTGAAAGAAAGCGCTCCTCGCCACCACTGTCGCCTGAACTTCCAGTGAAAGCTCTGGGACGAGGAGCACTCCCAAGCTGCGGACCTTGTCCCTAGGAGGGAGTGCAACCCCATTCAGGACTAGGTTCAATTCACCCTCCCAGAAGCCCGATCCGCCAACCAACAGGACCTCCGTCTTGTCTGGATTGAGCTTCAGTTTATTGGCCCTCATCCAGCCCATTACCTCGGCCAGGCACCGGTTCAGTACAGCCACTGCCTCACCTGGATTGGTGGAAAACGAGAGGTAGAGCTGGGTATCATCAGCGTACTGATGATTCCGCAGCCCACACCTCCTGATGACCTCTCCCAGTGGTTTCATGTAGACGTTAAACCGCAAAGGGGACAAAATGGACCCCTGCAGTACTCCATGGCATAGCTGCCATGGTGCAGAGCCATAGTCCCCCAGCACCACCTTCTGGAATCGGCCATTGAGATAGGAGCAGAACCACTGCAAAGCAGTGCCTCCGACCCCTAATCCCGCTAGCCTATCCAGAAGGATACCATGGTTGATGGTATCGAAAGCTGCTGAGAGGTCCAGAAGAACCAACAGGGACACAACCCCCCTGTCCTTCTCCCTGCACAGGTCATCATACAGGGCGACCAAGGCAGATTCAGTACCGTACCCGGGTCTGAAGCTGGACTGAAATGGGTCCAGATAATCAGTTTAATTCAACATACTGTCTTGTAAATTGTATTAAAGCAAACACTCAGACTTTAAAAATAGTAGTTGCTACACAATGACAAAAATGTTTAAGCATCTTCCCTAAATAGAATAATCTTCAATAGTCTCCAGAACTAAGTGAAATCTGAGATTTGATACCTAGGAGAAAGTGTTAAGATGCAGTCAACTTTTCTGTTCCGCTTGTATAGTTTGGGTCAAATCTGGAATGCTATGTCTATGCTAAGAACAGTAAACGACCTTGTAGTTGCCCAAAGCAATTGTCTATGCCTGCCTAAGAAAATATGCTGTATTCAAGACCTCCAGGCTTCTGAAGGAGGCAAAGAAGCTGTCTCTTTTAACACTTCATTTTGGTGTGAAGGTGTTACTTGCAGGGCAAAAGTTTAGAATCTCTTGAAGTACCCTTAAGAATTCTGGCATTTAGCATCTAAGGTTTTTTTTAAATCTGTTGTTGGTTACTTTTGAAATTGACTCAAGCATGCATTACTGCTTTGTTCGCTTTATTGTTGTTCGGAATTTTAGAAACTGATTTTAATGTTTGCTGCTTTGTAGAGATGCAGATGCCACAAGGATAGATATCTTTACTGGTAAGTTGAGACCTCCCCTTTTTTTTGGTAGTTTGTTATCTATATGTAGAACCTAGGAATATGATTTGAAGTAGGTGCATTTGGAGGCTAGGAGATAGCCTGCAAAAGATGTGAGTTACCTGAAGTTTTTTCTGTGTTTGCTCGTGTAATGACAAATCTTGATAGCAAAGGCTTAATGGAAAAATATTTCATCAGTTCTTGAAGCAAGAATCATATTTTCTGTCAACAGAAGCAGCACTTCCATTTATGAGAACCAAATACTGGTTCCCTGCCTGGTGCAAGGAAACCTGTATGATGGGTTATCTCCCACTACCTAGAACAAGGCAAGAGACATGTTACCAAGGCTTTGGCTTTTGTCTTGATAATTCGTGGTTTCTTCTTTCTCTTGCCATTCATTTTTTGCTTTATCCAGAAGGGACCTTGTATCTTGCTTCACAATTCTGTCAGGCCTTATCCCTCTGTAATTTAAGTTTCTGTTTTAGGTCTCTCTTTTCCCCTCTCTCCAGTTATACTTAATAGCTAACTATCTTTCACTGCCTTTCCTTCATTCTCCATTTTTGGTAATAGCTCCATTGGGCAAGAAGGGCAGCAAGCCTATCAAAGCAAAAACCAAATCAGATCCACACTTGAGTCATGAGGGCAAAGCATATCCACAAGGAAAGTTCCAGTCTCAAGACCACCAACGCAAAGAGCCTTATGAACATATTAGCGTCAGGCGATTTCACTATCAGTATTTACCCTCACCGGCAGTGGCCAATTCAAACAGTCCACAGGAATTTTTAGGGTGTGAGAAGGAATGCATTTTCAGTAGAATAGCAAAGGCAATGGCATGTTTTCAACTTTACCATTGTTTTACATCCAGGTTATGAAGGATGTCATGTAGGCTACTATGCGGACATTCCACTTTGCATCGTTTGTTTGTTTGTTTGTTTGTTTGTTTGTTTAAAACTGGTACAGACCATCCCTTAACCATGGTCTCAGGATGGTTTAACAGTAAGACAAAACAAAACATAGCATCCTAATAAATAAATCCAAGCAACAATAAAACTCCTACTATTGAGGGATAGTAGATTCATATAATAGTGGAGTTGGAAGGGGTAATGAAGGCCATTGGGTCCAGCCCCCTGCTGCTCCAAGGCACCATAGTGATGCTGTTGAGGTCCTTGCAACCACAAGTATTGGCTTGAATCCAAAGGCTAATAAAATATTTAACCCTTGGTACCAAAAATTTTTCTCTCCTCATAGAAAGACGAGAGGACCTGCGAGGTGGGTTCATGCTGTGTTTTTTGGATGATGGAGCAGGAATGGATTCAAGTAAGTGAAAAGAGGCTGTAGATGAATACTGAAAATGGAACCTTGAAAATAGTATTTTACATCCTGTGCAAGTAGGCTTAATTTAATTTCCTTGGCTTTAATATGAGTTTGCATCAATTGCTCAATTATGTTCAAATAAGAATGTTTTGCTTCTTGTTGAGAAGTGCCATCCATAAAAAAATAAGACTAGTCCCTACAAAGCATCATTTTCTAGATTCAGGTTCATGCTCTTTTTATTAAAGGGTAAGCATATCTGCTACAGGATTTCCTGAAGGAATCACTTAAAAACCATTTAATTCCAGAACCAAGCAGTTGAATCAGCAGAGGTTTATCTCTTACAGAGGTAGCTATATGTACAGCCTTTTTTGCCTTGACGTTTGTGCGTACCTCAGATCAGAAAAGTCAGGATCAGAAGATCCTTCCGATTAGTGGTTGCAGTTTAAGGTGTTTTAGTTTTGAGTGGAGTTAATTGTGATATTTGTATTTGAATGAGGAGGAAATTCATTGAAACATTTTTGGTTGACTTGGTCACTTTTGACAACCTAATTCAAATAAATTACCTTCTGTTATATTGAGAAATGCAAGATTTGCTATAACCCCACAGAAAATCTCACTAAAAATTACTGAACAAATGATGTTAACTGCCATAATATATGGGTTGTATCAAGTTTTAGCCACACTTAAGAGTAAACTATTTGAAATGGGCCTTCCCTGTGGTGCCCTTTTTCTGGAATGACCTCCCCTCTGTTATCTATTAGTCACTGCTTTGAACTGTTATTTAAAATTGGTTTCCCTTGGCTTTTCTTAATTATTAGCTTTTTGGAATGTTGTCCTAAAATGCGTATTTTAGGAGAAATCTGAATATAAATGTTTATGAAATGTTATGAAATTTCATGCAAACTGGGTGAACTGACACTATAAAAATTCTCAAAAACTTGATGTTATCAAACATCTTAAAAAAGTTAAAGAAACTGAAACTGACAGATATATCCATCCCGCATCTGGGGCCTGACTCTAGCAGTTGGTTGGCAGTTAGGTATTCCATTACTATAATCAGTCACTGATCATATTTTAATAATTCCTCTATTCCCCTCCCTACCATGATCTATTTTGGCTGTTGAACCTTAATTCCACAGGAATGCAGTAGAATCAATGCCCCTAAACTCTGAAACACCAGTCATGTTTGAGATATTTTAGAGAGATATTGCTATTGTTACAGCTTGGTGATACTTTTTAGCATCTACCTGCTGAGTGTCAGAGCATGCTTTATTTTTTATGAAGATTCTGTTTCAGTTGTCTATTAGAGCAGCAGGCTTTGTCACTGTGTCTACAGACTTGGGGCACATGAAGAACTCATGAGGAAACAGTAGCTGGCTCTGGTGCAGGCCAAACCCTATTGGGATGCCTATGGAGCTGTTGGGGGTCTCAGTGTGTCTATTTAGAGCAAGATGTTGCTTGGTTGATGGTCTGCACAAGAGTTGTGACTCCTCTTGTGTGTTTGATAATGTGCATTCTGCAATGCTGCTGCCTCTGTCTTCCAAGTCTGTACGTTCTTGGATGAAACACTTTTGTTTGCAAAACCCATGTTTTCACCACCATGGCCTTGATGGTACTTGGCTGTGAAAACAAAATGCGTGTGATGAGGAGAGGCTGAAAAAGTGGACAAAAATTTTCACAAAATGGTGAATGATGGCAACCAAAAATGGTAAGGAAATTTCTTAAAATGGGCCAAACACCATTCACTATTGACATTGTTAGTACAGATTCAGTTGCCTGTCCCACCAATGGTCCAGGGTACTATATCTATGTCAGCCCCATGATGGATCTCACCCCTTATTCCACCACCAGTCCTGTTGCAAGCTCCTCCATCAGGCTCAGTGGCACGTGCAGAACCAACCACATCATACTCTTTCTCTGAAGGGGAGATATAAGAAACACCACCCCACACCCTGGCCAGTCCACCACCTTTATCTCCCAAGTTGGCTCCTTACACCAGGACCAACAATCCTCTCTGCCACTCACCTATCCAGTCAATGAACTGCTTTGCGGAATCTTCTTGCCAGCTCCATTCCAGAGTTTTACCTATCAGCATGTGGAATGGCCCAGGCCCTCACCACCAACCAATGGGACCATACCATCCCAGCTCTCTCTGGGAACAGAGACCCTCGGACCCATGGGACTACCAGTTGGAGTCATCCACGTACTGTGCTGAGGAACAGCGGGCACTAGTTCTCTCTACTTTGCCACCTGTTCCAGCTGTTCCATCAGTAGCCCATCATCTCGGAATAGTTCCAGTCTCCTAGCCTCGTGTCAGTCCACCATCCACCTCCTAACACCCTGTACTGCAAAGACAATATTCATCATCCAGCCGTACTTTATCTTCAGACTCCGCTAACGATCTACCTGCTGTCTACAATGAGCTGGTGTCACCAGATGACATCATCTCATTGCAAGATCTGGGATTCCCTGCTGAATACCTGGAAAGTTTTTCCAAACAGGTCCTCCAAATGGTGATGTTGCTTGAACTAGAGACTCAGCATCTCACTGAGTCTTCAGTAGGCATGTTCTACAATGTCCAGATGGAGGATTCTGTGCCGATAAGCCATTCCATTCCTCTCCATGCTCCTTCACTCTATGAAGGAACTGTTGAAGGCTCCAATACAGTTATAGTCAACATCCCACTGTTTGGAGAGCCTATACCAAATTCAGGGGAGAGCCATCCTTTTCCTACTATACCATCCGAGTTCAAACTCCACCATCATAGAGTTGGTGCAGGAATGATCACAGCAGGAATACACCATCCCAGCAGATTGCAAAGATCGACACCTGGTGAGGAGGGTCTGCATGCCAATGGGACCCTCCATATCTCCAGTTTTGAAGCGTGGATGGGGAGATACCAGGTTTTACTCTGAGAAAAGATGGGTGCCCTATTTGAGTTTCTTCCTGAATAATACTGGGAACTGGTATAGGTTATTCCAAATGGAGCCCTTCAACTGTCCAGGCAACACCCCCCCCCCCCAAAAAACCCCCCAAAACCTGCAAATCATCTTGTTGACTGTTGACAGTACAGTGCCTGTCTGGAGACATGCATGGCTCCAAGTAGTGAGCCTTTTGCAGGAGGTGCAGTACCACATTGAGGAAATACCCTTTGATGGAGAACAGTTCTTCAATCCACAAATTGATGAGAAGCTCAACACTGTTCAGTAGGCTAGAGCGACAGCAAGGAGGATGGGCTTCAAACCATCTCAACCATCCAGAACATGCTGGTGGCCTTGGGGCCCATCCACTTTCCAGAGGCAGAGTCACTTCTGTCAACTTACACTCCAGCAGCACCAACCACCCCAACAATGCCATTGAGATGCCTTCTCGCAGTTCCACCAAACTAACAAAAAAGTGATTGGATTCCGAGAGATGCCACCGACTACTTGCATGAACCAGTTCATCTGCTTCAGCACCAGTATGGTTTGAAGGCCAGCTTAAGAACTACCTTCCTGAGTGGGAAGCTATAACATTGGGTGGATTCTCTCCATTGTGAGGAACAGGTATCATACTGAATTCAATGCTCTGCCACTGCTCGGGACCATACACATGCTGCCATTTTCTCCTGGTTTGGCGGAAGAAGCTACTACACGTACACTATTGTCAAAAGGTGCGATCTGTTCTCTTCTTCTATCTGATGTGTGTTCTTGTTTCTATTTATAGTACTTCACAGTTCTGAGGAAGGATGGCAGTCTCCATCCCATTTTACAGGATGTGAATTTCTTCATTTCCTGCAAGAAGTTCCATGTAGCCTCTCTGCAAAATCATTTCCCACTACTACACTAAGGGGACTGGTTTGCATCAGTTGAAGAGGTGCATATTTCCATGTGGCCATCATCACCTTCTTAGGTTCCAAATTGAGACTATGGCATTTGACTTTCCAATGTTACCATTCAGCCTTTCCAAACCCCATGGGAATTCACCAAATGTATGGCCATAGTATGTGCACATCTCCAACTACACGGGGTCCAGGTCTTCCGGTGCCTGGATGATTGACTCTTTGTCACCCCATCCCAAGAGAATTTGTTGAGCTCTATTTGGGAGGCTTGTAATTTTTTGGAAGGACTGGGACACTGTATTAACAATGAGAAATCTCTGCTTGTCCTTTCCCAGTTGATCCTGTACATTAGTGTGCTCTTGGATTCAGTTATAGCTTGGGTATGGACTGTGTAGATGCTCTACCTCAGGAGTCCTCAAACTTTTTAAATGGGTCCAATTCACTGTCCCTCAGACAGAGGGCCGGAATATAGTTTGAAAAAATATGAATGAATTCCTATGCACACTGCACATTAAAATAATTAAAAATAATAAAATTAAAAAAGTTAAAAATAAATTTAAAATAAAATAAATTAAAAATTAATTAAAATTTTAAAAAATGTTTGCTCTGCTCGCTCAGGCAGCAGAAGAAGCCCAAGATGAGGTAGGGAAGAGCACATCCATATTCAATGGACATAGCTATAGTGTCTGCAGTCATGCTTGGTGGGGGGAAGACGGACGTGATCGCGCTTGTGCGGCCATCTCCCTCCCCCCAGCACAATCATGACCGCGGCCATCTCACCCCCACCCCCAAGCATGTTCATGCAGGGAAGATGGGTGTGATCGTGGGCATGCTCGTGCAGGGAAGGCAGGTGTGCTCACGGCCGCACCCCCCCCCCCCCCCCCGATTGTGCCTGTCTTCGCTGCATGAGCGCGACCGTGATTGTGGCCATTTCCCCACTGAATACGTCTGCTCTGGCTCAGAGCTTTTGGACTTGCTTGGAGATCCTTTTCTCCAAGTGAGTCCAAAAGCTCTGAGACGAACCGTATAAATGAGCATGGCAGGCTGTATCCGGTCCACAGGCCATAGTTTGAGGGCCCATGCTCTAAGCAGTTCAGCTTTACGTCTCCAGCTTTAACCCAGAGCAACTGTCCACCAAGTGCACTACCTTCTGGGACACATGGCTTCTACCATTGCAGTTGTC